GGCTGATACAGAATGGTTGCTTAACTTAAACTCAGGGAGACATCTAAGGACATTGACATCCTTCCTCCCCTGGTAACAACTCGGTGCATTTCCATCTTAACGGACCGCGCAAGAATCAGCTGGGTGAAACGGCAAGTCCACTGGCGCTACCGAGCTGGCCTTGGTGTGGACAGGTGGCCTTGGCCATGGATAGGCAGCCTTGGCCATGGGCAGGTGGCCTTGTTATAGACAAGCGACCTTGGCCGTGGACAGGTGGCCTTGGCCATGGACCGGTGGCCTCAGCCGTGGACAGGTGGCCTTGTCTCCTGCGCACTTCTTTCTGCTCCTCCTCTCTGTCACCCGGGTCCTCCCTGGGTCACCCCTCTCTGCGGTCAGGCCACGATGCTTTCAGGAACACAAGGTAATTCTGACACCACTCAAAGCAAACAGAAAGGTCAACTGGATGTGAAGTCCCAAAGGCAGAAGTCTCAGTGCGACCCACATCGTCACCGAGCGTTAACTCCCCTCGGAGGTGGGTTAGCGATTAACCTGCTTTCAACTTTAAATACGTTTAACTGTGAATCTGTTAAAAGCCAGGCACTTCTGACAGCACTCGCTTAGGGGGGCTGTAGTTTTCACGAATCAAATCCAGCCGCTGGCTCGGCATGTTCCATCCACAGCCCTTAGAGCAAAAAGAAAACAGCGTAGAAGAATTTAAAATACTCTGTTCCGGGGCAACCTGGACCATTTCCTGGGAGCAGGGAGGGGGTTCGGTGAGCACTGTAGCTGTTCAGATAATGGAATCACTCAGGGGTGTCTGATTTTACTTGAACCACGTCAAGTTCTAATAAAGACTGACATTTACATCTTCCAAACAGAGGTCTTAAAGGATTGATTCTAACCGTCCAAAAACCACTGCACGCCTTCTTGGAAACACTCCGTGAGCGAGTGCATCTCAGAGGGAGACTCCCTGTGTCCCCTGTGCACGTGTGGCGGCTGCACGGATCCCTGGGGCTGCCCCTCACCCGCGTGTGGTAGCCCTTCTGCAGGGACCAGCGAGTGGCGGAAGCCGACAGCCAGGACGTTAGCAGAGGGGACGCTTCTGGGAATGCACGTCCCGGTTAAGTGCCTCCTACACGGCCTGACCTGTTCCTAGTGAATCGCAGAGTTTCACACGTTTTTCCATTAAGTTTGGAAAAAATGACTAGAAATGATACATTGTCAGATTAATTTTAGTGCATGGTAGTATCTCATGCAGGTTTTCCCTTAAGCAGTTTGATCTGCTGTCTTTGTCAAGTGGATTTATGATTCATTCCATGTTTGTTAAAGGGTCTTTTTTCTGAATCATACTCTGCTGGGGAAGATAGTTTTAAGAATCACAAATGCCACGTTGGTTTTAAAATCTTAACATAGTTGTACACGTTGTAAAAAAGAGCAGGGCCAGCAGCCAACCCCCCCACCCCCACCCAACTACTAAATTTTCCGATTCCCGTTACATTTCTTAAATTGAGTGTGTTCAACTTGCGATGCCTTATTTTACGGAACTTTGGGAGTTCTAGAGATGATGTCATTTTAGGAAGGTACGGTTTATCGTTCTGACCTAGGTTTAAATCGGGAGGGTTTTAAAAAGTTTAATTATAAAGCTTTATGGGGGAGAATACAGATCAGGGGGAGAGCGCGTGCTTAGCAGGCGGGAGGTCCTGGGTTCCAAACCCAGTCCCGCCTCTAAAA